TAAACCAATTTATAGTTTGTTTTCGATCAATTTAATACAAAGATTTAAAGTTTTTAGTCGATGATAACATTCCACACCAGCACATTGCAAACCTATTTTATAAATAATAGGAATAAACTTGTAAATCATTAATTTGGTAGTTATCTCACTCATATGATTTTTTTGTTTTTATGAATATTTCGATGTCTAAATATATTTTGGCCTTACAATACGAAGCGTTTTGTATCTACCACTTTTTTAATGAACGATGAATGTTGACAGGCGTGTACCTTTTTCGGAACAAGAGGCGTTTTAACGAAGGAAATGATTTTCGAACTATCTAGTTAGTTTTCGGAAAAATAGAAAACGTTTGAAGAAAGTTGTCAATAACAGTTTGTCGTTCATGTGTTTCATTTTGATCAGCTTTCATACTAAATTGCGTAGAATATTTTTCCGATTCAAAATCGAGATTCTCGATATTTCCACAGTTTATTTATAATACCTTCTAAACTGGATTTATCTATCATTTTATATACTTTATAATATATGTTCATGCCCTACTTTTCACTTTATTAACAAGTTTTTTTTAACATACTTCAAAATGGTAGGATATTCTCAATTCGTTGAAATATTTTTTTATGTATGTTGAGCGATAATTCTTTACCACGTTGCCCGATTTCTAGGATTCTTTTTGTTAGAAAAGGAAACAGTTTTATATACATTAAGTCAAGATCTGAAGATGGGATCCATAAGAAAATCATTAACATCTTTATTTTTAAAGTAGGTTTTTTTTTAAATTTCTTTAAACCTTACTGGTTCGAATGCCGTAAGGAATGAAGAAATGTAAATAATTGTTGTGCCAGCCAAAAAACGAAGAGGAAGTACCGATTAAAATATCGAGAGACAGAAGAGTTCCTAAGATTGTTGAGATCGGGTTTATGTTTTAAAATGCCTTAAAACCGATATCGATAATGTCTCCCCGTCGCTGGGCAGCCTGTATATAAATATACAGATCTCTATTTACATAATTATAATTCTTAGGTAGGTTTAGATTTGCAGACATAAATCTTGTAATAAATATAACAGCTGCCTAATACATTGATTACATTTTCATTAGCCAATGTAAAAATGTCTTTTATTGTACCTAGGATTTGACTAAACACTACACAAAACTAAAAATAAAATGCCACTTTCATCGTGTAATTAATGCCGCGTTTGAGAATCCACATCGGATGCATTTTTTACATCTCGAGCGTTTTTTATCCACATCGGACACATCTGTCCCATTACATTTACGTATACTGAATCACGTGATCAAAGATTTACTACTTACTACATCTCAGATGCATCCGATGTGGATTCTCAAACGCGGCATAAATAATAAACTACAAACGGTCCTATAAGGGCAGCGTCATATAGCCTTGAAACACCGGATTTTACTGCTATTGCCAGGTCAATATTGAATTTGTAGGTGAATCCTTATTGAACATTAAAAATACGGTATTAATGACATTAATACGGTATTTGTATATATTTTTGGGAATGTAATTACACATAAATATTATTAGTTGATTATTTAAATGTTTATAAGTTATTTTGTGGCGATATTTCGTAGATATAAACTGTTTAAATCATATAATTTAAAAATTAATTAATTTAAAATTCTTTTCTGTTAGGTATGTTTAATATATTTGGCAACACTACAGGGACAAGTCATGCATATTGCGCAAGCTTCTAGACACACTATTTTGCGATGTCAGGCGCAGAGACGCGTTTTTATGCACAGTAGGTTTCAATTTCTGCTTAAATGTTATGTTTATATTGGTCTTCTATATTATTTCTATGGGAGGGAGACATAATGCACTTTACACGCTTAAACGACTGTTCATGCTTAAGCTATGTGCTTGACCACCATTGTCCGCTGACCACCATTGCCCTATCCTCCCCTAAATCTTCTAACAATTCTGGCAACGTATTTTGTAGAAAATCCAAATAATTTTCTCCAGTTAATCTTCTTGGAAGTATGACAGGACCAATAATGAAATTACCAATTATTCCAGTCCACACATTAATTTTGAATTCGCGCTGAAAATGGTTTACCTTTATCGCATGCGGATTTTCAACGGCATAAACATGTTCATTATGGGTATTAGTTATACTTCTTCTTGTAAAACCCGCTTCATCGGTAAAGAAAACCTTCTTGACAAAGTTTGGATCTCTTTCTCTTTGCATATTAACAAATCGACAAAAACCCAAACGAATTTGAGGACCATGGACTAATAATTCTTGTACTGGCTTCTTATGGTATGGATATAGCAATTGTTAGCACTTTATGAACGACATCTTTACTTACTCCTAGTTCCCTTCCAATTCGTCTGGTGCTTAATTCTGGATCTTCTTCAACACGCTCTAAAATGTCTTCTTTAACTTCAGGAATCCTTACAAAACGTTCGCTTCCATTATCAATAGTGTTGGGAGCAAAGGAACCGGTCTCCCGAAGACGTCTCTCAACAGCAGCAAAAGTTGGGTGGCTAGGTACACGACGATTTGAAAACCTTTCATAGTACACTCTCTCGAGCATTTCCTTCACAAAATCCTAATGTCAGTAACATATCGGTATATTCTGCATTGGTATATTGTACATCCATATTCATAAACCACGCATTTGTTTTTTTTTTAATTATTGAGTCAGATAGAACACTTTCAATCGTTAACAAGAGATTAGGTGTTAAAACTTGACAATATTTTTATTTAGATGAAACTATGGAAACCAACAATAAATGTTTTTGTATACGTATTGCAGGCAAATAATTAATATTCCTCAAAAAATCGTACATGGCAAGAATCGAGTATTTTTGTTAAAAGTCTCGATTAGAGGTGTTGAAGAAGATATGAAAAAAGTACATTTTTATGTTTTTCATCGTATAAAATTTTGTCCGATAGTAATACATAGGCGTAGAACTTGATTTTTTAAATAATTGCATGGCTTCTTATGGTATGGATATAGCAATTGTTCTCTAAGCACTTTATGAACGACATCTTTACTTACTCCTAGTTCCCTTCCAATTCGTCTGGTGCTTAATTCTGGATCTTCTTCAACACGATCTAAAATGTCTTCTTCAACTTCAGGAATCCTTACAAAACGTTCTCTTCCATAATCAACAGTGTTGGGAGCAAAGGAACCGGTCTCCCGAAGACGTCTCTCAACCAGGGTTACCAGGTTTTTGAAACAGATATGACGGACAGACAGGGGATTTTAGGGGAAATAAATAAAGTAAAAACAACTTTGTCCATTTTCATTCTTTTAATCAAAATTATTTATTTTTTAAGAAATCCGTACCTAATTTTGGTGTAGATAGTATCAACTATTTTTACAAATAATTAAGTAATCGCAAAGTTTAAATTGAAGGTACAAAAAAAGAATACCTATGTCACAAGTTTGAAACAGAAAAAAAAAACAAAAATAAACAACTAAAAAAAAAAACAAAAAATGAACTGAACTAAAAATTAAAATAACAAAGTCGTTTCTTTGTCGTGGTTTTCTTTTTATGTGTATCACTGTTGCCACTGTCGGCTTTGTTTTGGGAATCACCCATATTAAAAGTCAATAATAAACACAAACATACTCCGTTCACAGCACAGTACATCATACAGCAGAGCAAATATTCTGGGCGACCTGGACAGTCATTAACTATGCTTTGACGGACTGACGGACACACTATTTAAATGCTGGACTGTCCGTTATAATGACGGACGGTTGGTAACCCTGCTCTCAACAGCAGCAAAAGTTGGGTGGCTAGGTACACGACGATTTGGAAACCTTTCACTCTCTCGAGCATTTCCTTCACAAAATCCCAATGTCAGTAACATATCGGTATATTCTGCATTGGTATATTGTACAGCCATATTAATAAACCACGCATTTGTTTTTTTAATTATTGAGTCAAATAGAACACTTTCAATCGTTAACAAGAGATTAGGTGTTAAAACTTGACAATATTTTTATTTAGATGAAACTATGGAAACCAACAATAAATGTTTTTGTATACGTATTGCAGGTAAATAATTAATATTCCTCAAAAAATCGTACATGGCAAGAATCGAGTATTTTTGTTAAAAGCCTCGATTAGAGGTGTTGAAGAAGATATGAAAAAAGTACATTTTTATGTTTTTCATCGTATAAAATTTTGTCCGATAATAATACATAGGCGTAGAACTTGATTTTTTAAATAATTGCACCTTTAAAAATTCCACGCCAATGGCAGAAAAGGGGTTTGAGTATGAAATTTGGATTGGGTGCTCATTTACTACAAAAAAGTACCCTTGATAACACTCAATTTACTCTCATGGTTTTGACAAAGTTTGTATTTTAATAATTATTGTTTATGTTCTAAAATTACTAAAATGCAAATTTCGTCAAAACCATGAGAGTAATCGAGTCTTATCAAGAGTACCTTTTTTAAAGTAAATGAGTTGCGCAATCTAAATTTCATACTCAAACTCCTTTTCTTCCATTGGCGTAGAATTTTTAATGGTGCAATTATTTAAAAAATCAAGTTCTACGCCTATGTATTATTATCGGACAAAATTTTAATACCATTTTTTTTTGCCACATAAAACTCTACCAATATACCAAAGTTCAGCAAAATCGGATATGCCGTTTTAAATTTATATGGGAAAAACGATTTAAAAATTGTAACTTCAAGGGTTTTTGTTAAAGACCTTTTACAGACACCCTGTATAAAAATAAAATTTCATGAATATTTGCTGTGTTGGTATTATTTATTACTTTTTTTTTATTTCTATCAAAAACATATCTTTTTATAGCAAGATTTTGAATGTTTAATAAATACAAATAAAATCAATAATTAATAATCAAATAAAAGATTATCAATAACTTGAAAAACATTCGTTAAATGTTAAATGCTCTTTAAATCGCCTCTTTTTTTTTTCAAAGTTTCTAATTACCTACAAAATTTTTGCTTGTGTGCATAAACAATATAATATATTTTTTCTTTCAGGTCAATGTATCCGTTTACTATGAATCATTATGTCCGGATTCCAAGAAATTCTTTACTCAGCAACTGTATCCATCACTACAAGGCAACCTTTCCGAATTCGTCAACTTAACTCTGGTACCTTACGGTAAATCAAAAGTAAGTAATAATATTAATTATTTTAAATCAATTCAATTCAAATTGAATATTTGTAATCAGACATTACTAAGCCCAAAACGTTACATTTGAAATGATATATGAAGCCCATGAGTCTCGATAAATTTGGACGCTCCAACGCAGTTGAAAAGCAGATTCAAAAATGTTTTTGATGCGAAAAATTCTACGCTAAATACAAATATCAGCAAGTTAAATGATATTATAAACGTTATCAGCAGTAAAACAAAGAACCTAGAAATATTTACATCCATAAATCCACCCACAGCTGGTAAAAATATGGCAACCAAAAAGTATATTGATGATACAATTAAAACAAATAAAAGATTCCTTCGAAGTGATATAACAAAAATTAAACGAATATAATGCCAAAATACAATCAATACAGTTTTGGAGAAGATTGAAGAAACGTTGACGCCTCTACGTTCTGATATAAATCAAATCCAAACTCAATCACAACACTTCTATAATGAAGATCTAAAAAAATTACGTGATGAGTTTTTGATTAAAATTACCGATATTACAAATTTAATGTCAAAAAATATTGAGCAACTTAACAATCAAATTAATACAGTTCCAAATACCATGTCAACAATTGATGATGTAAAAAAAGAGATAGGATTATTACAAAAAAATATACATGGCATTAATAAAATTACAAAAACCAATGAAAATAAACTAAAAGTATTGCATAATACTTTATAAATCAGCTAACTGCGTAGATTAGGTTGGCAACACTGTTGACAGATGCTATAGGTTAGAATAATTTTTGACATCTGTCACGATAGCCGCCATCTTGCTTAGCTGATGACTTAGCCAAGTCGCAAACCTTTATCCTATTGACAGGTTTTTTGACAATCTTCTCTTTTGGAAACATGTTACTTTTACGTAAACATCGTTTCTACTCCCCCCAACTGGGCCAGTCACCGATTGACAGGTGCCGTCATCTCGTGGCGACTACTGACAGTTGGAAACACTGTTGCCAGTTGACAGCACTGGTTTGACATGACAATTGACAGATAACTCAATGTATTAATCGCTGACAGTTGGCAACACTGAGTTGACAGGTGAAATATTGACATTTTGGCAATTAACAACACTGGATTGACAGTTGACAGATTGATTGGATTTCTATTTGCGATTTACGATATATTCAATTCACAATTTTCAGGTTAACGTCGCTTAACGTACATGGAAAACTTAACTCACGCAGACGAAGATATGAGCTTAGTATGCATCAATGCATTTCTCATATACACCGATGTTGTATAGAGATATTTAAAGATTTGAGAACGAGCCTGAAAAGGCGCTTGGCCCAAATTAACACATCATACTGCTGTCTTTGTGTACAGAACAAAGATGTCTGGGTTCGAGTCCCACCGACGAAAGGCTTTTTTCAAATTTCCAAGTATTTGTTTTTACTTTTGGGGCTCGGAGACGGTCTTAATAATTCGTAGGGGATTTTTGAGATTTGTTTCCAAATTTTCAAATTATTTCTAGTTAAGTTATTTATTTGAAAAAGTTATTGACCTATTTGAAAACTTTGAAAATACCCTGTATAGAATTTACATAAATAATGTCAGAAATTGGCTGATGGCCACTGAAATCTCGAAATATATCAACTAAATTGTAACATCCTTCTGCAAATTGATAGTCTGTCTCAATAGTCAAAAAATCAAAAACTTGTAAAAGTTATAATTTAGACAACACTGCCGGGCTTCTAATAAACTGTGTGATATAATATATCTTGTTAAATATACACCACCAAAATAATAAAATATTACAATTTTATTTTATTTCCAAGTCCCGACCCCTCCCGCACAACCGGGCTTCGACTGGTCTATCTGATGTGATGGGCTTCGTGATGATAGCCGTGCATATATATATATATATATATATATATATATATATATTTTGTTTCTTCGTATAATTTAGAGAAACTACAATTAATCTAGTTTAAACTTTACTTCTTTTCGATCATTTGGTGATTATTATTCAATATTCTTCTATTTTTTAGGCAGTTTTCGAGGTAACCGACTGGAAGTTCGAATGTCACCATGGAGAAGTCGAATGCTACGGCAACAGAATCCAAGCTTGCGCTTTGAAACGCATAGAAAAAGGCCAAAACACCGCGGATTTGGGTTACAACAAAATCGCAGTGGGCTTCATCAATTGTCTAATGGATAAAGCCGATAAAAATGCTGAAGATGTCTTTCCCACTAGAGACTGCGCTTTAGTCAATCCCGTCTCCAATTTATTAGATATTGAGAACTGTTCCAATCACACAGATGGTAAGTTAAAGGGGAATTTCTACTGGGAAGGGCGATGACATCACCGATCAGTCTTCGGTCCGACTAAAATTGCTATATAACCTCGACGATGTTATTTGGCTATTCAGTGAGTTCTTCTCTGTTATATGTCAAATTTTCCTGTTTTCAGTCTGGCGTATAGATTTTGAATGCTTTATGCAAACATTCCTAGATCCTGTTTGAACCATCTCCTTCATGAATCGATAATATGTTCTCCTGAAGGGAGTTGGGTAGACATTTGTTGTAAAATTCTAAGCATATAAGCTTTAATCGGTTCCAGAGATTCTTACACATGCATGTCATGAATTCTGGCATAGTGGTGATACCTCTTTTCATTTAGGTAGCTCCCTACCTAAATGAAATGAAACTAACGTTCTTTTGACATGAATGTCCAGCCTTTTGGTCGCTATTTGGGCAAATTCTGATGTTTTGAAAATACAGGTGTCATCGGCATTATGTCCCATGGTAAAATCATAAGTCATGATAGTATACAGATGCAGCGGAAGTACTAAAAAAAAAGAAGAAAAAAAAAAGAATATTGAAACAAAAAAAAAGAACAGAAAACTACAAAAAAATAGACTAAAGAAAAACAGAAAAGAACCAGACACAAAAAAGAGGAAAAAAGAACAATAGAACAAAAAAGACAAAAAACAGAAAAGAACAAGACACAAAAAACAAGAAGAAATGCAAAAAAGAAAAATAAAATAAAAAGAGAACAGAAAAAAGAATAAAAAAGAACTATAAAAAAAGGACAGAAAAGAACAAGATACAACAAGAGGAAAAACAAAAAAGAACAGAAAAAAAGAACAATGAAACAAAAAAAGAACAGAAAAAAAGAACTACAAAAAAAGACAAAAGAAAAGAACAAGACACAAAAAACGAGGAAAAACAAAAAAGAACAAAAAAAAAAGAACAGAAAAAAAACTACAAGAAAAGGACAAAAAAACAAAAAAGAAGATACAAAAAACAAGACGAAAAACAAAAAAAAAGAACAGAAAAGAACAAGACACAAAAAACAAGAGGAAAAACAAAAAAAACAAAAACAAAGAACAATAAAACAAAAAAATAAAAAAAAAGGATAAAAAAACAGAAAAAAAAGCACAAAAAACAAAAAGAACAAGACAAAAACAAGAACAAAAAAAAACAAGACAAAAAAAAGAACAAGAAAGAACAGAAAAATATAAAAAGGACAAGAAGAGAACAAAAAAAACAAAAGAGGCCAAAAAAGGATAAAACACAAAAAAAGGAAACAAACAAAACAAAAAAAGAACAAAAAAGACAAAAAAAAATAAGAAAGGACAATAAAAAAGGAAAAAAAACCAATAGAACAAAGAAGAACAAGAAAAAGAACAGAAAAAAGATAAAAAAAAGAAACAAGCAAAAAAAAACCGAAAAACAAAAAAAAATTCAAAAACAATTTTTTCCAAAATATAAAAAATTTAAATTGTTAATAAAATAGTTCAAAAAAGTAAAAAAAAAGAAAGAACAAAAAAGGAATAAAAAAGAACCATGCAAAAGAACAAAAAAAGAACAGAAAAAAAAAACCAAAAAAAAAATAAAAAAAAACAAAAAGAACAAGACAAAAAAAGAATATAAAAAAAACAAAAAACAAAAAAAAAAAGAAACAAACAAAACAAAAAAAGGCAAAAAAGAATAAAAAATGACAATAAAAAAAGAAAAAAAAAACAATAGAATAAAAAGAACAAGAACAAGAAAAAGAATAGAAAAAGGACAAAAAAAGAAACAAAATGTAAAAAAATCAAATTTTTAAGAATATTTTTTGGAATATATCTGTTATTTACATTTGGAAAACAAAATTCTTTAAATAAAAGTTACTTCTAATATTATTCTCTATAATTTTTATTTTCAACAAAATTTTCCTTAAATGGTCCGTATTTGAGAAATTTTACAAAATGTAAAAAATTTAAATTTTTAATAATATTTTATGGAATATATCTGTTATTTACGTTTGGAAAACAAAATTCTTTAAATAAAAGTTAGTTCTAATATTATTCTCTATAATTTTTGCCCTATATAAAATTTTCCTAAAATGGTCCGTATTTGAGAAATTTTACAAAATGTAAAAAAATCAAATTTTTAATAATATTTTATGGAATATATCTGTTATTTACATTTGGAGAACAAAATTCTTTAAATAAAAATTACTTCTAATATTAATCTCTATAATTTATATCCTATACAAAATTTTCTTAAAATGGTCCGTACTTGAGAAATTTTACAAAATGTAAAAAAATCAAATTTTTAAGAATATTTCATGGAATATATCTGTTATTTATATTTGAAGAACAAAATTCTTTAAATAAAAGTTACTTCTAATATTATTCTCTATAATTTTTGCCTTATACAAAATTTTCCTAAAATGGTCCGTATTCGAGAAATTTTACAAAATGTAAAAAAATCAAATTTTTAATAATATTTTATGGAATATATCTGTTATTTACATTTGGAAAACAAAATTCTTTAAATAAAAGTTAGTTCTAATATTATTCTCTATAATTTTTGTCTTATAAAAAATTTTCCTAAAATGGTCCGTATTTGAGAAATTTTACAAAATGTAAAAAATTTAAATTTTTAATAATATTTTATGTAATATATCTGTTATTTACATTTGGCGAACAAAATTTTTTAAATAAAAGTTACTTCTAATATTATTCTCTATAATTTTTATTTTATACAAAATTTTCCTTAAATGGTCCGTATTCGAAAAATTTTACAAAATGTAAAAAAATCAAATTTTTAAGAATATTTTATGGAATATATCTGTCATTTACGTTTGGAAAACAAAATTCTTTAGATAAAAGTTAGTTCTAATATTATTCTCTATAATTTTTGTCTTATATAAAATTTTCCTAAAATGGTCCGTATTTGAGAAATTTTACAAAATGTAAAAAATTCAAATTTTTAAGAATATTTTATGTAATATATCTGTTATTTACATTTGGAGAACAAAATTCTTTAAATAAAAATTACTTCTAATATTAATCTCTATAATTTTTATTCTATACAAAATTTTCCTAAAATGGTCCGTACTCGAGAAATTTTACAAAATGTAAAAAAATCAAATTTTTCAGAATATTTTATGTAATATATCTGTTATTTACATTTGGAGAACAAAATTCTTCAAATAAAAATTACTTCTAATATTAATCTCTATAATTTTTATCCTATACAAAATTTTCCTAAAATGGTCCGTACTCGAGAAATTTTACAAAATGTAAAAAATTCAAATTTTTAAGAATATTTTATGTAATATATCTGTTAATTACATTTGGAGAACAAAATTCTTTAAATAAAAGTTACTTCTAATATTATTCTCTATAATTTTTATCCTATACAAAATTTTCCTAAAATGGTCCGTACTCGAGAAATTTTACAAAATGTAAAAAAATAAAATTTTTAATAATATTTTATGGAATATATCTGTTATTTACATTTGGAGAACAAAATTCGTTAAATAAAAGTTACTTCTAATATTATTCTCTATAATTTTTATCCTATACAAAATTTTCCTAAAATGGTCCGTACTCGAGAAATTTTACAAAATGTAAAAAATTTAAATTTTTAATAATATTTTATGGAATATATCTGTTATTTACGTTTGGAAAACAAAATTCTTTAAATAAAAGTTACTTCTAATATTATTCTCTATAATTTTTATCCCATACAAAATTTTCCTTAAATGGTCCGTATTTGAGAAATTTTACAAAATGTAAAAAAATAAAATTTTTAATAATATTTTATGGAATATATCTGTTATTTACATTTGGAAAACAAAATTCTTTAAATAAAAGTTACTTCTAATATTATTCTCTATAATTTTTATCCTATACAAAATTTTCCTAAAATGGTTCGTATTCGAGAAATTTTACAAAATGTAAAAAAATCAAATTTTTAAAAATATTTCATGGAATATATCTGTTATTTATATTTGGAGAACAAAATTCTTTAAATAAAAGTTACTTCTAATATTATTCTCTATAATTTTTGTCTTATACAAAATTTTACAAAATGTAAAAATTTAACAAAATTATTTTAATTATTTTAATATATAATAAATTTACCTGTGGTATGATGTGCCACTGCCTTTGCTAACATAGTTTTCCCACAACCAGGCGATCCATATATCAACATACCTCTGTATCTTGATTTTAATGTAAAATTATCTATTTTGTATGTTTGAATTGTTTTTATAACAGAAACAGGGTAATCATTCACAAACATTTTGTAAATTAACCCATCAGTCCAGACGGTGTCAAATGCATTTGCAGCATCAAGAGGACTACCACACTCTGTTGGTTTTGGTTAAATCCTTTCTTGAGATGATGCGCGATGCGTATGAACTGTGCTATCGTACTATGTCCAACTGTTCTTCTAATAGACTATATTTTCGAAATAAATATGAAATCCCAAGATATATTTATACATTTTTTTTTTTGTTTAGCATTCAACTACATGGCAGTCTTCGGTCGTCTGACAGATCAAGTCCAAAAGCCTCTAAAATCCGTTCCTACCATCGTTTTTAACGATCAATACAAACAAGAGGATAACGATTTAGCCCAAAGCAATTTCATCAAAGCCCTTTGCCAGTATATACAGGGCGAGAAGCCAGCAGAGTGTTCCACAGGAGCAGCTAGTAGGTTTACTATAAGTTTGGCTGTATTATTAGCTTCAATGCTATTTAAACTACTTTAAAAACATACCTAAATGAGTATTATAGATTTATTTCGGTGCGTATATTTTATTTTCGAAAAATATTGAGGCAAATTTTATCTTTGTGTAATTAAGGAAAGATATTTTCAGTAGATACCTATTCTGGAATAATTTTAACACCTTTTTTGTGATTGTTAAACAAAAATAAACCAACTTTCATTTCTTTACATTTTTTTTTCATTCACCTTGTCTTCAAAAATATTTATAACATATAAAAAATGTTATAATTAATCGCTTAAGTGGCATAGCTAAGTTACAGGTAGTTTAACATTGTTAATACTTATCTGGTCAATAACACCATCCCAAAATGCCTTTTAAATGTGACCTTGTATTCTGCCTTAAAGATGATACCTAAATAAATAGATGTACTTTTAAAAAAAATGTATTTTTCTGTTTTATTATTTATTATGTGAATGTTTTATAAAAAAAATATGTTTAAATTAATTTTTCGCATTATTTTATGAATACAAGACCATTTGTAATTATATTTTTCAATAAAATTCTAATGAAAAATTGGGTTTGATTTTCCTAATACTTCTTAACATTTTGTAATAACAATTGTAATAAATCCTAGAAGTAATTAAGTATAAAGAAGTTAGGGGATTAAAAGGGTCAGTTCAGGTACCTGATAGGCAATGGTTCCACTATTTATAGATTTACCTGGAATTTAATCAATTACAGAATGACAATAAAACCATTGTACCTACATTAATGAATATATGATAATTTTAGAACTTTCATAAATGAATATACTGTAATGTTCTCTATTTAACCTTAAAATTTATAAAAACTCAATAACCTAAACTTACCTCGGCTAGCTTTCTTTTTTAATATATTTTAGCACTTTATTTTATATGGAGCAGATTCTCTTTCTCTGAGTGGTGTCGGTTCAAGTATTATATTTTTTCTACACCCGTATTATAATAATGCACTTATATGCCCATAATCCGTTTCATAATGATACCCATTATGATACAGATTTTTCATTACGATACAGATTTTTAA